ATCAGCAAGGCAAGGCATTTGCTGTCGGATTAAACCCAGGTAGAAAATGATGAATATAGGAGATGCTTGGAAGAGAGGAGCTTCTCCAACAAGACACCAAAGGCTCGACCATGACCCAGCTCTTGGAGCTCTTGCGTTTAAGCCGATCGCACTTGCTAGATTCATAATCATCTTTAAACATAGGTAAAACCATATTCTGCATCCCAAACTATTAATAATTATGACTATTCTGTGTCAAGGGAACCCTGGTGGTGTAGTAATTCAGCATTGGACTGCTAGCTGCCAGGACCACAGTTTGAAACCACCAGTCCCTCCTCAGGAGAAAGACTGCGCTTTCTACTCCCATAAAGAATTACCCACAGTGGCAGTTCTACCCTGCCCTATAGGGTCACTATGACTCGGTATGGGATCGATGGCAGTGAGTCAAGTCTATGAGTCTAGAAGTTTTGCTTTCCATGTGGGAAGGCCCTAAGAAGCTCTGGGATACAGCGGCTAAAGAGCTGGGCTGCAAGCCTACAGGTTGGCAGTTCGACCCCACCAGCCACTTTGTGGGAGAAAGATGTTGCAGGCTGCTTCTGTGAAGATCACAGCCTGGGACAGGCTATGGGGCAGTTCTACTCTGTACTACGAGTCAGAATAGACTCAATGGCAATAGGTTTTATTCTGACACTCTCTTTTGTTAAAATATGGAAAATCCAGGTTTGACTCATGACGGATGCACCTCATGTACAACGCATGTACTGTTAGCACAACCATCCTTCATCTGTCAGGGAAGGCTGGCCTGCTACTGTGAGGCAGAAAAGATTTCAGTGGCACTCGGACACTAAGGTAGACTAGGAGGAAAGGCCTCGCAATCTTCTGAATAGCAGCCAGTAAAACGCTATAGGTCCTGGCAACTCGCTAACCTTTATGTGCCAAACGTTTGCTAAGAATTTACCTTTCATTCTATCAGTAAGATCGGCACTATTATTATCCCCCCTGCCCCCTCCCTTTTTTTTCCAGATTAGAAAACCAACAATCAAAACGGATAATTAATGTACCCAAGGTTACACAATGAGTAGGGGGTGGGGACAGGATTTGAACTCATTAATTTGAAACTACAAGCTGCTTGCTCCAGGGGAGAAAGCTGAGGACTTTGTATTAGGCTGGGTTGTCTAGAGAAACAAATTATGACATCCATATATGTTTAAGAAAGAATTTTACATTAAGAACATTGTTTCTTATATTAAGAAATATATTATATATTTTATATTATAATGTAATAACTTTAATATATTCTATAATTACTTTATATTAAGAATATATGTGTCTTATATTAAGAAATAATTTTCTATCAAGAAGGCATAATTTTAAGTCAAGAAGGCAGCTCAGCCCAGCCCAGCTCAAGTCCATGGGTTTGATGAGCCCTCTTCTAAGATAGCAGCAGGTTGATGACACAGAAAAGCAAAGTGTGAAGCAGGGAGGTGCCAGGCCCATGGGTGCACAGTCATGTGGCTCCAAGGTCAGTGGGGGCATGGCAGACTGCCAACAATTCCCTGGGTAGGCAGACACAGAATCTAAGCAAGAAGGAAATCGAAGCGCAATAGAGGAGGGGGTCCCCAGCATCTCTCTTATAAATAGGCCACACTTCCAACGAGGCATTATCAGGCTGTGACTTGATTGATAGGTTGGACTCCACCTCGACATGCTATCCGGTTGTAAATTGACATAAACGCTAACCACCACAAATAAGAACCAATACTTCACCAACGCAGCCAACAAACACATGAAAAAATGCTCATGATTAATAATCATCAAAACCTAAAACCAAACAAACTCATAGAACAGAAGAAAACATCTCCATTGGGCTTCCAAGACTACATCTTTACAGGACCAGAGAGCCTCGTTTTTATTCCTTGCATCAGCTGGTAAGTTTGAATGGCTGGCCTTTCTGTACACAGCCCAGCCCTTAAGCCATGGCACCACCGTCACAGCAGTCCTGTAGAGAAGAGGAGAGCAGCCCCTGTGGGTGTCCAAGGCTGTAAATCTTTATGAGAGCAGAAAGCCTCAGCTTTACACACCCCCCAAACGAGTGGTGAGTTGGAATTGCTGAAAGGTCAGCCCACAGGTAACCCACTCTGCCACCAAGCCTCCTTCATTAACCATTCGAGAGATTAAAATATTTACCTTAAAAAAATCTCTACTAGCAATATAAACCAGCTTAGTTTCCTTACTGTATCATTGGGTTTGTGGATCAGTATGAAAAGCACTGGCACCACAATGAAGTCCAGGGCCCTGGTGGTGCAGTGGTTGAGCTAGCAGCAATTCGAATCTACAGTCACTGTGCTGGAGAAAGATGCAGCAGTCTGCTTCTGTAAAGACTTATCGAAACCCTACGGGGCAGTTTTTCTGTTTCCTAAAGCTGTTGGGAAGCGTTGGTCTACCAGTCTCTCAGATGGAGAAAAATGAGGTTATCTGCTCCCATAAAGATTTACAAAGTCTTGGAACCTTATATAGGGTTGTTATGAGTCAGAATCGACTCAGTGGGCAGGGGGCTGGGTTGGAAAGGATGCCTGGAGCCCTAGTGGTGCTGTTAAGTAAGCATTAGACTACTAGTGGCAAGAGTAGAGGCTCAAATCCACCAGCTGCCCTGTGGGAAAAAGATGAGGCTGTCTGCTTCCATAAAGATTTATGACCTAGGCAGCGTTATATAGGGTGACTAAGAGTCAGAATCCACCATGGGTTTTGGGTAGATTCATTTACAAGAATTAGTAGAAATAACCAATATTAATTTGAAGAAAGACTAATTCAGTAATCAAAGAAATACAAATTAAATAATAAAAATCATTTATAAAATTAAAAAATTCTTGCAAAATAATAAAACCTAACTGGAATCAGATCAAGCTTCTAGCTCTACCTACCAGGAAAACATTAAAATTACACCAGAGATGTGCAATCACAAAACTTAAATGTGGCAACAAATAAATTTTAAGGCGGGGGGGAGGGAGTTCAGGATTTATATATTATTAGAAACCTAATACACAGAGCAACCAAACACAACATGAACCTTATTTTGATTTACCAAACCAAATGTAAAGGCATATTACACAGTCAGGAACATTTGAACACAAATTGGATTTCGATGGAATTGAGCCGTGACGGTGGTATTGCAGCTATGTTTATTAAAAGAGCATTTGTCTTTTAGAAATATGTGGAAATATTTATAGATGAGAACATAGCTAGGATTTCCTTTAAAATCATCTAGGAAGGAGGAAAGAGTAGAGATTGTAGATGAAAAGAGATTGGTCATGAGTGGATTCTTGTTGAAGCAGAAGGGTTTGAACATAGGGGTTAAACTACTCCCTCTATTATTTTATCCAGACATTTTTATAGTAAAACAGTTTCTAACATGGATTATTCCTTGAAGTTTGATATGATGTTTGAAAATATATAGTTCTCATTTTTCCTCATTGCAGTGGTACAAACTGAGGTTGAACCCCATAAGTTTTGCCGTTTGAACCAACTGCTGTGCAGGAGAAAGACTTGGCAATGTGTTCTTTGGAGCAGTTGTGTCAGGACGAGCCACAAAAAGCCAGTCACTGGCCAACCAGATGTGAGTTTCTTTTTCTTCAAGAAGGAGGTGAAAGGATGAACCTGTGAGCCATCGAACCTGCCACTCCTTCAACAGCCCTATGAAAAAGCATGGTTGGTCTTCCTTGACAGGTGAAGAAAGCGGCTTAAAGAAATGAGTGGAATCCTTCAAGGGCAAAGGTAAGGTGTCAGTATGTATTGATCCCTATTCTGTGCTGGCATTTAGTTCCCTGCTCACCAATCCCCATAATCAACCCTGTGGCTACAGAGGTGAGCGACTTACCTGAGGTTATTGGGAATACTAGCCCACGCCCTATCTCGTACCCACTCCCATCCCAGGTCAGGGCTAGCCTTGACCCTTTCCCTCAATGCTAGCTCCCACAGTTCACTGTGTCTCCAAGGCAGGGAACTTGGATCAGCTCACAATGAACTTCGATCATGTGACTCAACATCCTTTGTTTCCAGTGAGATGGAAGTTGCTGCCTGGTGAGAGGCCTGAGGTAATGCGGGCTCTGTTTTGGGACCCTAATGAGCCCCGAGTCTCTCTCTCATATGGACACCTGGGCGGAACGAAAGCTGCTCCCAGTCTAAGAGCACTGCACAAGACAGCGGATGCATAGGAATGTGGCCTGCACACCAAAATGCTTGGTGTCGTGGGATGAATGTCAATGTCCAGTCCTAAAGGACTAAATTACAGCCCCGCCCCTCAACAGCTGGAGTAAATCACTTAATATGATTCACCCTACAGGAGTTTCACTTGTTATTCAGCAGTCCTAAGGTGGGGGTAGGGGAGGACACTAAGGGTAAAGGAGAGTGCAAGCCATGGAATAGTTGAGCGCCCAGAGAGAAGCTCGTCCCGTAATTTGTCCTCACCCGAGGCAGCTCAGGCCCCTCAGGGAAGCTCTAGGGTCCAGGAGGCTCTTTCTCACCCACACTTCGGAAACGGCACAGTTCACCTGACAAGGACGCAGTGCTGGTTTTGCTAGGACAGCCTGCAAAGTCCCTGACTGCTGGGCGGGGTCCCCTCAGAAAGCTGGGCTACCACTGTGCTCACACAAGGCCTCAATCCTCCCCTGGGTCTCTGGGAGGAAGCTGGTCTCTCTCCTCTCCCCACCCACCCCCTCCTTCTCCCTTCCTTCTCTTTCCCTTTTCTCTGACCCCTTTGTCTCTCAAACTGCTTTTTCTTGACTCCTAGTCCCATCCATCATTCTACAGTCTTTACCATCTCTGTCTCCATTTCTAGGTCTCTGTTCCTGTCTTTATCTCTGTTCTCTCTCCACCACCGCACGCCCCTCATCTCTCTCTCTGTGTCTCTATCTGTCTACATTTCTGTTTCCAGTTCTCACTCCTTCTCTCCCTCCATCGTTTTCTCTCTCTTTCTTGCTCATTTCCGCCCGCCCCCTGGGGTCTCCAGCCCAGGCTTCACTTACCCACGAAGGCTCCCAAAGCGCTGAGCAGAGAGAACCCAGCCAGAGCACAGAGCAAGGGCCGCATGGTGCTGACTGGCTCAACGCAGCATCAAGACTGGCCGCGGTTGCCTCTCCGGGATCCCGCCGACCAGCCAGGGAGGAAATGCACGAGCTCTGAGCCAAAATTCCTGGGCGGTTCTGGGTTTTCTGGCTCCAGTGAACCCGTCCTCTCCAGAGGCCCCGGCACACCCAGCGAGCAGCACAGAATCCAGGCATACCAGGGGTGTAGGGGCCCATGTGTCAGCCAGCCTAGGTCCCCCTCCAGGAAGACCCCAGTTCCCCAGCCCCTATCAGTGGGCCTGGCAACGAAAAAAAGGGGTGAGTGGTGGGCTGCAGGCTCGGCCCAGGTATTGGTTATCAGCTCATTTCACAGGTGAATAGACTGAAGCTTCGAGCAAAGTGCCTTTCCTCAGGGTCGTTCAACTCTGGAATGCTAGGAGTGGGGAAGCTTCTCAGTCCACCGACTAACACTAATGCAGTAAGGTCAGACCTTGTCTGAACTTGAGAAGGAATCCCAGAACTAGTGTCTATGTTCAATGTAAACTTGTTGTTTTTGTAGACCTAGTGGTGCAGAGGGTTAGCAGTGGTCTGCCCCACAAGATCAGCAGTTCAAAGTCACCAGTCATTCTGCAGGTGAAAGAGGAGGATTTTAAGGAATTAGTTTTGGAAACCCACAGGGCCAGTTCTGCCTGCTATTGGGTTGCTAAAGTTGGAATCGTTTGGTTTTAGTTTGGAAGGCTGTTCGGGACTGTCCAGTTGCTGGTGACTCACAAGTACCACAGAACAAAACACTGTCAGGTCCTGTGCCAGTCTCACAATTGTTGTTATGTTTGAGTCCATTGTTTCAGCCACCGTGTCCATCCATACTGTTCAAGGTCTTCCCCTTTTCTTGATGACCGTCTCCTCTACTCAGTATGAAGTCCTTCTCTGGAGACTGGTCCCTCATGACAACACGTCTGAAGTATTTGAGACAATGTTCGCCATCCTTGCTTCTGAGGGGAATTCTGGCGCTACTTCTTCCAAGACAGATGGGTTCATTCCTCTGGCTCTCCATGGTACATTTCATATGCTTCCAGGCCAAAGGATGACACTCCAAACCCCACTGCCAGTGAATCGATTCTGACCCCAAACAATCCTGCAAGACGGAGAACTACCCACAGGGGTTTGTGAGCCTGAAAGTCCACTATACCACCACAGCAGTGGTAATAAAATAAGATTATGATATAATCTTATCATGTATATAATATGAGACTGATATAAAATGAACATACGCTAAAGATTTTATTTAACTCCTTTGCAAGTTCAATGAGTTGTAACAACCATAGATGTTACAACCAGTTCAAAGGAGACTGTAAAGAACAGACATTTAAAATCAGGACTATGCAAAACGAGGCAAAACTGGCCTCTTCCATCAAATCAGTAAGGGGTAGAATTTACATGGCCACCTCCAAACCCCAGCCAACAGGTCTATTTTGGTTCATAATGACCCCATTGGACAGAGTAGAACTGCCTGTTAGGGTTTCTGGGACCCTAAAGCTTTATGAGATTTCTCCCACAGAGTGGACAATGGGTTTGAATCGCTGACCTTGCAGTTAGCAGCTGAATTCGTAGCCCACAGCACCACAAAGACTCTTATTCTAAACTCAAATAAACTCCCATTGAGTTGATTCTGACTCATAGTGACCCTATAGGACAAAGAAGGACTGCCCCTTTGGGTGTCTGTAAATCTTGACAGGAGCAGAACAGCTCATCTTTCTTCTTCAGAGCCACTGGGGGATTCAAACTGCTGACCTTGTGGTTAGCAGCCTAACTTGTTTGTAACCCACCACACAACCAGGACTCCTTTTACATGACCATTACCTGCCGACATGGGGTCTATTCTGGCACATAACAAGCATACGGGACAGCGTCGAACTGCTTCTTAGAGTTTCTGGGAATTGGAATGCATAGTTGAACTGGCTCAGGAGAAGAATTTATTTCTGAGGTGGCAAGAATTTCTCTCACATTCTTCAATAGTGTAGCCAGCAAACTGTCAAAATATAGACAAATCCATGGGAATGTTTGGTTCAGAACGAATCTCCCTACTACTGAGTCAATTCTGACAGAGCAATCCTTTAGGACAGGACTGAACTGCCCCTCTGGGTGTCTGAGACTTGGAGTAGAAAGCCTCATGGAGCAGCCAGTGGTTTCAAACTGCTGACCACTCAGCTCACAACTCAACACATAACCCACTGTTCTAGCTGGGCTCCTTTTCCAACACCTGGGCTGATTTTTACAACTTATACACAGAGTAAAACATGAAACTCCTCCCTGCCCAACAATTCAAATTCAATCCCCTCAGCAGTCCAGCCTAGGGGACACTTCTGATTCTTCATCAATGCAGTCCTTATTTATCTGATAGATACATGATGTAATATAGCTACATCTATAAAGTAGAAAAATACCATATACATACATACCAGGACCAAATAAGAGATATTGTTTGGGATTTGCTTTCACATTCATGTCTATCCTAACATAAAAAAAGATTCTTTAATTTTACAGTGAATTGGGTGAAGGTTTACAAAGCAAATCATCAGTTTTACTCAACAGTTCATATACAATGTGTTTCATTTCATACATTGTAGTCCACTCAATATAACATCACTTATTACACTTCCTCCCAGGATTTTCCGTTTCTATTTTTCTTCTTTTCTAATACTCCTGAACTTTATCATTGGATTGATGCTATCTTTCTTGTTTCAAATGATTGCTTACTCTAAGATTTGTGTACCTCACTAGTGTTAAAGTCTCCACATAGACTCGTCTATTGTTTGGCTGAACATTGAACCACAGGGCTGAGTGCAGTTTGACTTAATGAGCGACTAAACCCCACAGTCTTGGAGGTCTGTCATTCTCTTTTATATAACATCAAATGTCGAAGAACAGTCTATTCTCACTCATTGCTATCAAGTCAATTCCAACTCATCGTGACTCGATAGGACAGAATTGAACTGCCTCAGTAGGTTTTTGATGCTGTGACTCTTTGTGGGAGTAGAAAACCTCATCTTTCTCCCATGGAATGGCTGGTAGTTTCAAGCTGCTCACCTTGAGGCTAGCAGCCCAACATATAACCACAATGCTTCCAGGGCTCCCAGGAACATTCTCTTAGTACACATAAATTTGCTTCATCCCTTTTAAACGTTTCAAAATATCCTATACACTATTGTAGTATTAAATTAAAAGTGGCGTGGGGGAGTGGGGTGCCAGCCCTACCCAGTACTAGAACTCACTGGTTCATTAATACTACTTCTGGGTTCAGTAATGCACAATTGTACGGTTGAGATATATAAGTATTATATTAAAGTCATCGAGAGCATGAGAGATATTACAATAATGCAGTCAGACACATTACATGGTAGCATTGCTCACCTCAGCCCAGCTTGGTGGTCCACATGGAGAGAGGGGGAAGGGAAGGACAAGGGAACAAGGGAGAGGGGGAAGAGAGGGGAGTCAGAGAGGTCCCGAGTCCGAGAGCTCTATATTGCTGACTCACGCCTGTATACCTTTTGGGGGCAAGCCAGCCCACTAATTACAGGTAGAGACATACGTTACATGGAGGAGCTGCACTATAGGTTACACAGCAATGAGAGGGTGGTCTCTGGGTCTCCATAGGAACCATTATCAGTAGGGTGAAAACTCCTCCTATAGGAGCCAAGCTAATGGCCTTAGGCTCCAGAGAGGTACCCATTGTCTCTAGCAGCAGGGAGTAGGGCTAGTGCAGTCTGGCAACTGATTGCCTTCAAGGGAGGGAATGCCTGCGCATCTGACCTCCCCCCACACACTATTATTTAGATATCCTCCAATTGATGGACTTACAGGTTGCTTCCTTTCCCCCTAATATAAAACATGAAATACACATCCTTTTTTCATATATTTTTATTACATATTGCATACTTGTGTACTTCTGAAAGGTTAGATTCTTGTGAGTGGAAACACTGAGGAACAGATCCTTTTATCTTTTGTTAGATATACCAAAAGTTCTCCCCCAAATGCTCGCTAATACTAAAGGGAAGGCGGGGCACTGACAGCCAAGTCCAAGGGTAGGCTATGTCGGTGTTGGGCTCCAGGGGGCACCACTTGTCTCAGCTAATTTGCACAGACACTTGCTGATATCAGATTAATCCTGACTGAAAGTAGAGTATACCAGAAAGATGTTTGTTTACCTGTGCTTTAATGACTATGCAAAGGGATTTTACTGTGTGGATCATCAAACACTCTGCATGACATTGCAAAGAATGAGAATTCCAGAATGTTTAATTATGCTCATGGGGAACCTGAACATAGACTAAGAGTAGTTGTTTGACCAGAATAAGGGGATACTTGTTGGTTCAAAACAGAAAAGATGTGCATCAGGGTTGTACCCTTTCAATCTGCTTATTTAGTCTTTCTTCTGAGCAACTAACCGGAGAAGCTAAATGTGATGAAGAAGAGCACAGCATCAGGACTGAAGAAAGGGTCACTAACAATGCGACGCAGAAGACACTACCTTGCCTGCAGAAAGCAAAGAAGACTCGAATCACTTTACTGATAAAAATTTTAAAACTATGGCCTTCAGTGTAGATCATATCTCAGTATAAAGAACATTCCTCAAAACTGGACCAATAAGCATTCTGATAAGTGGAGAAAATATTTGAGTTGTTGAGGACTTCATTTTATGTGGATCCACAATCAAACACCCATGGAAACAGTGTTCAAAAAATCATGTACCAGACTTCTGGTGGCACGGTGGACTAAGAAGGCACACTACACAGACCCTTGGTGGACTAAGCAGGCACACTACACAGAGACAAAAGAAACTAAAGAAAACTGGTGTGAATGAAAATCCTGGAACCCTAAGTTTCAGAAGAAAGGATAGAATAGTGGATTGGATACCACATAAGAGAAGAAGCTGTATGAACAGCCAGAGAGCAGACAGCTGGGTAAATTGTCATTTGGCCTGATGCGGTGCCATCATAATTAGCTATGGTTGCCGAGGGCCAACACAAGTGCTCACATTGGT